TGTTCACGGGTAACCCGAGTGCAAAAAGGCACCCAGGACCATATTATTTTCAAATGCCGATTTTCAGACGAAATTGCTTCAAATTCAGGAAGAAAACATGGCGCCGGATCAACTCGAAATCCTTATCGACTCGTTGAATTCGGAAGCGGAACACCTCAAAGAGAAGATCAACGAGTTGTCAACAAAAGTTCGGAGTTTTCCCGCTGGGATGCGATCGATATCACAGGTTATTGATTGATTCATAGAGTTCAACGGCCATGTTTTTGGGAATGACTGTTTGAAATCAATAAAATCAAGTGTTGCAGGCAGTACTGGCAAATACCCGGTATACCATCGATATTGGTCGAATCCGTAGAGAGTTCTGGTCTATGGAATCCTGCATGCAATGTAGAGGAGACGTGCTCAAAGGATCCACCAGAGTTGACAGGTAGCTGCTTACTTGTCATGCATTTCTATTTTCTTTCTCTGCTAGTAATGAAATCCTCTTCCTCCCCCCCCCCCCCTAATGCCTAAAGGTCCTCTGTTTCTACTAGTTTGAGGTCCTCTTTTCTACTAGTTTGAGCTATGCTTATGGAAAGTGTATCGTTGAAGGGAACGTTGGCATAGCTCTTGAGAAGGCGGTGTCGCTTGAATGGAACGGATGGCCATAGCACTTGAGCACATTAATCACGTCAGAGAATTACGTGCTTGCATAGCACCATAGAGACCTATTCTATGTTTGTGAAATCGTATTTTTTCTTTCTTACTGACTGTACGACCCAACAACGGTTGTATACACGTGAATTTTATTGGTGCAAAGTTTCGAGCTTTTCACCATCCTTAGACCCCAAAAGCCGAGAAAGGATTGCTGCTCCCTGACAGACGGCATTGATTCCGGCAATCTTTCTGTGGGCAAGAAGCTAGCTAAATGAGGCTGCAGCTTGAACGACGGGGGGCGGGGCGGCGGAATTTGCAGTTTTGTACTTCCCTCCGAGCCATCTAAAGAGTATTTCGGGAGCTTACAAGAGTCGACAGGTCTGGCTCGACAAGCTTGCTTCACATTTACAGGAGTTCAAAGGATTTATCAGAGTGAGATATGCAAAGCGGACCTAGTAGAGTAATGAGAGTGCATAATGCCTCCTCCCGCCCTCCCCCTTCAATTCAGAATAAGTCAGGTCTTACCTCTGACGACCAATGACGTCGAGTAGAAGCTGCCGAATCGGTGGGAATTGCAGCCACTCCTTACAGTGGCATGCCGCCAGCCCTCTGTCGCAGCAGTGTCCTGTTCAAATGCTTAGCTGAGCACTATGTGCGGTGCCCCGCGAAGCTGACCGCAGCCTAAGTTTTTCACTTCTGAACGAATCCCTTCCAAGAAAAGCTTCCATCAATTGTTTTCTCCGGTACCGATTTCTCTGCTTGCCTTGCCAAGGCATCGCTAGCAAGAGAGCGCGGAGGAACGGGCACAGAGATTTTAGATTGCCGCTTCGTCGCACGCCTTAATAGGCGTGACGTTTCCTTAATCTGCACTACTCTTTTGATTGGAGCATCGGATTTCATGTAGACAAGGACATGGTAGACACTTATGTCTATTTTTGGTCATACATTGTCTATTCTCGACCAATACCACCTAAAATCGTCGTCATTAGCGGGCGCGACGTCGCACGCGACGCTCACCAGCGCGGTGAGTTACGATTCTCTTGCCACATACCCCACGGAAACCTGGTAGCACAGATGTCTAAAGTCGGGTTTTTGGTGTTCTGTAGTTTCTAAGCTTTTCTTCACTCACCCATGTTTCAGCACCGTCATTCCTTCATCCGGATGTGTTCGCATGTGTCGAAGACCTCGTTGACGATGTGGTGACTGGTCGCCCACATGCAGAACGACGGAAGCGAAAGCGATTCCGGCGAATGGACAATTCGTACAAGCGTGGATGGTGGGCAGTGGACACAAGGTAAGGGAGTATTTTCTATCACTTTCCATCAACAACATATTCTGCCTGCATAGTTTGTCAGTAGAAAGCTCCCCTACTGAAGACAACAAGCTGTCGTTTCTAGAGTGGCGAGGTGTCAGACAAAAGAGGTGCAGAGGCTGGATAGAGGGGATTCCGCAGGGAAAGCAGTAGTGACCAGGACACTTCTTTTTGCCCTCATATATGGATGATACAGTTGATATCGTCGCAGTCTGTCAGAGCGGTTTCAGATGTGGATTCGCCCACTCACGGCGGCGCTTTCTACCACTGATTGTTGCCTTTTGAAGCCGCTATCATTGGTGGAAACGCTCGCGTGGGCGGGCGAATTCCACGCCTCCTGACTCCGTTTCCGCCAGATCATGACGATATAAAAGTTCCCGTATTAAGG